ACTGACAGTGATCAAGACAATTTATAAGAAGCGGAACATGATTTCAAGGATATCAGTTAAGCAATCCTATGAGAACCACTCCTGAGCAATTTTAAATTATACCCACTTCACATTTATTTTTCAACATACAAGTAACAAAAGGTTAACCTTTTGGGCAAGAAGTTCAATGGTTACTCTGCAAAAAAATCAAAATTCAGCACATTGGTTCTTTTAAAGCGAGGGTTGGCAAAACCATGGCCCTAGGGCCAAATCCTGGCTGCTGTTTTTGCAAATAAAATTTTATTGGAACACAGCCACACTCATTTGTTTGCTTAACGTCTATGTGCCTTCACGCTACAGCAGCAAAGTTGAGTGGCTCCAACAGAGACAGTCCACAAAACACAGTCTACAAAATCTAAAATATTTACTGTCTGGCTCCTTAAAGAAATTGTTCCCCAATCCCTGTTTTAGAGTTACTCTGTGTCTTGGTTAAGAGGTTCTGGAGTTAACAGACCTGGATTTAACAAGTCCTTTCTCTGCCATCCTCTTTTGGGACTTAGCTTCATTTTCCTTCTCACAGAACGGGCCCTAATAACTGCCCCCCAGGGTGTATTACAGGAGCTACGGCCTGGAAAGTGCATCAGAGAGTCCCTGGCACAGAGCAAGTGCCCAGTGAGTAGTAGCCACTGTCATCAATTCAGCAAGAGCTTAAAGGAAGCACGAAAGAGTCACATCCCACTTGGGACTCAAGACTCTAAACTCAACAAGTACAAAAGAACAAAAACCAAACATAAAAAAAAAAAAATCACCTCTAAAAATCCCTTTGGAGGGCAGCCCATTATAGACAAACACACTTTCTTTCATTAATTTCAACACAGCTGGTTATTCCTCCAGCATTTAAATGGATCACTGTCCCTTCAGTGGAGGCCCCAGATGAAGTAGCTGGAATTTACGAGCCACAATGTGGGGACAAAATCCATTATGTTCAAATATGAGAACAGCAGAGAGCATCAAGACAGACTGGGAACGGCAGAGCCACAGCTCCTGTACCAGCCTGGGGTACGTGCATGCTGAGTAGGACGGTAGTTCACTGTTCTTCCTGTTGCTCCCTGACTGCTACAAAAAACACCTTAATTTGAATTTTTGTTAAGTTAAGTGGATATTTTTGAAAAGGGATCAATAATAACTGCCTCAGAGAGCTGCCATGACAACAAATGAGTTATCACGTGTGTGGTGGATGATGGTAGCAATAGGGTTTGTTTGAAACACCATTGTAAATTCCCATTTGATGTACGATGTGTTTGGGTAACTATGAGAAACATCTGCCTCTTACACTTTTGCAGCTAGACGCTGACTAGAGTTAGGGTGTTATTTGTGAACATCCCCCCAAATGGAAAAGATTAAATGATTGCACTGACAGGCACTTACCTGGGAGAAAACCAGTAGCTGATGAGGCTGGAGACCACCACGTAAGACACTATGATTATCCCCGACAAGGCAAGCGACACGAAGCCCAAGCCACAGAGGACACAAAGCAGTGAGAGGCCGCCCACAGAGATGACCAGTCCTGGAAGAGAGCACGGTCAAAAGAGCCATTCAGCTAAAACAGACTGAAAACGCCAGACCCTGCACCACTGTGTTTAAAATGATTGATTCAGATGTTTCAAGTGAGATTTCCCATAAAAACCCAGACTTCTGGCGTCACTTAAAAAGGAGGCACTCTCACTGCCCAGGTGAGGGTCATCACGGCCTGGCCGCTGCTGGCTGGCCCTCCAGTTTCCTCCAGGCCCACCTGTGCTGTTCCCACCTGTACCGTTCCCAGATCGCTTTGCTCACTTTCGTTACCCATCTTGCTTGTGGGTGTTTGAATGTGAAACCCCCTCATCCTGAAGGTCAGGGATGATCTCCCAAAGGAATCCTATAGAAGGAGTCAGCGGAGGCAGTAACGGGGGAGATAAATCACGTCCAGTGTTTCAAACTGCCTAACCAGTTCTAGAATTTACATGGGAATAAAGACCATGCAGGCTAAATAAAGTAAAATCTAAACGTAAGTTTTGACAGGGCCCTTTACAACCCAGCCTGGCAAATATCACACAGTAACCATAAGGTCTGATTGGTCATTTTACCCAAACTTAAATAATTTTTAATGGGAATGTGAATGCATTATCATCTAATAAGTGCAGAGAAAATACATTTTTCATAATATGGGGTCTGGGGGAAAAGCAGTAAAAGGTACACTGGAAAGAGCATGCACCTCCACAGTACACATGAATGAGTTTGATCCTAGTTAAGTCACTTATGGTGTGGCGTTGGGCCTCTTGGAGCTTTTGTTTAACTCATCTGTAAAAAGAATATAGTAACTACCTCTAAATGTTGCCATGACAATTAAACGGCTGTCATGTATGGGACAGACTGTGGTAGTGTCTGTCCGCCTAGCACTTTCCTTTGCCTCCCTCATAACAAAATTCCTCTTTCCATAGAACTAGTAACATGGGAAATGCTGCAGAGCAGACACCTTTCCCCTCGCCTCACGAGTGGTCAAACAGCCCAGTGCTCCACAGTGACAGTTTCAGGGACGGACCCTGGAAAGGAAGGAAAGCAGAGTACGTAACCAGATGTGCTGTCTTTTCATAAACATTTACAGAATCCTAGATCAGTATTTTTCAACAGATGGCCAACAACCACCTGTATCGGCATCAGATGCATCGTGGAGCCTTGTTAAACATTTGCATTTCTGGACCCTACTCCACACCTGCTAAATGACAACCTCTGGATGAGAAATGGAAACCCGTATGTTCAAAAAAGCAAGTGAGATTTGTGTGCACTCAAGTTCCAGAACCACCGCTCTAAAGGGGGACAGCTTTGCACGTGCTCTTCCTCCTGTCTACAAAGCCCTTCCTTACTCACCCTGAGACAAAGCTGTTATACACCTTTAAAGTCCTGCCTTCTGTAAAGCGTTGCACGATACCACCAAAATGCACTGGCTCCCTCATTTCTAAGTTTACTTTTATTGTCATACTCATTCATCTTTCGCCCATCTATCCCTCAGTTTTTACTGAACAACCACTGTGTCACACTGTATTTGGCTCACCTACCTACCATGCCTGTCTTCTCCTTCAAGTGTAAACGGTCTTGGCCACGATCCCCTGGGCAGGGAAGCAACCCTGGGTTGCTCTTAGCTCTGGGAAGCCACTGAATGGGCCAGAGGTGATCACCTGAGCAGATGGTAACCATCTTTGTGGAGTGTGATCTGATTTGAAAAAGCAAACTGAGGCAATCCGATTTGCTTTCTCAGTTAATTTAAGCCAGCAAACACTGGGAGAAGTTGGTAACTGACAGTGGGACTTCAGGGGAAAAGGTAGAGAAGGGGGAACCTCAGAACACAGCAAGGTGCCAGGCATGCCACTAGGTGCTCAATAATTAGCTGTGGAGTGAATGGTTTCTCTCCTTAGTGACAATAGTTAGCAATCATGGAGAAGCCACTCTGTGCCACGGATTGTGCTAAGCACTTTGTGGAACTGTAAATTTCAATCCTCACAACCCTTTGAGATAGTATTATTACATCCCTATTTCACACGTGAGGAATTCAAAGCTCAGAGAGGGCAAATAACTTGTCCAAAATCACGCTGGTGGAGGTGGGATTCTTTTTTTTGGGGGGGGAGACAGGTTTATTTATTTACTTTTTAGAGGAGGTACTGGGGATTGAACTTGGGACCTTGTGCATGCTAAGCATGCGCTCTACCACTTGAGCTGCACCCTCCCCTGAGGTGGGATTCTCATACAGACCCCAGAGTCCATGTTTTAACTACTCTGACAAGATGCCCTGGTTGATGTGCTTTTGACAAGAACAGGAACTTTTGACAAGAGCGACAGATGCTCAATAAATACTGTCCTCCAAAGTGAGTCATTTTCCACGGGGGTAACTGAGTCGGATACCTTCCAGTAATATGACTCCCACAAAAGCAGCCAGGGAGGTGAGCACCACCAGGAGCAGGAAGAAGCCAACAGGGACAGCTGACACAGCAACAAACACCAGCAAGGTGAGGGTCAGGAAAGGATGCCTGTCCAGGTACTGACCCACCGGAGACTTCATGAAGGCAACCACCTGCGGGCAAAGGAGAAGAGAAGGACTGAGCGTCACGTCTGAGCCCCAGGCTGATGGATCTGCCCGAGCCACAGGAGGTACAAGCCAAGGCGGTGAAGCTGGAAGGCTCCTAAGTAACAAGTCGGCAATAACAATCCTCCCAAGACCTGAATCACCCCAGCAACACCTTCAGGCAGTGGTGGACAGAGCGCCCCACCCAACCTCAAGTCTTGCGAAAGAAGGAGAGACCCAGGGACACGCCCTCTCAGAAGGCACCCCCAGCACCTGTGTGCTGACGTAATGCACGTACAGCTGGAGGCCTACTTCACAGCTGAGGCCACTGACGTACAGAGAGGTTAGGTCCAAGCTGCTTGGCATCAGCGGGGAGCTTGTTAGAAATGTGGTCTCTTGGGCCCTACCCCAGGCCTGGAGCAAATCAGATTCTGCTTTCTAATGACATCATCAGATGATTTGTACATACGCACATTCAAGTCTGAGAAACAGTGGGGCAAAATGACTCATCTAGAGTCACATGGCTTCCAAGTGGCAAAACCTAGGCATTCAGAGCTAAATCTTTCTGCTCTAGATGTCAGATGTTTGTGATGGCTGCCACTTCATTAGGAGAAAACACTTTTAATGTCATCAACCTGGATACTACAGTCAGGCCATAACCTGATGACTACTGCAAGCTTACGCTGCATTAATAAAGAGGTTATCTTCCTTCGCCAGGCAAAAGGATTTTTGGAGCTGGCTCAAGGCTGGGGCGGGGTGCTGGTTTAATACAGAGCTGGCCCTAGACAACCTCACAAGGATGGGCTTTCCCCCTCCTCTCAGGCCCCATGCCGTCTCTCTCCTCAGTGCTGGCATGCAGGTTCCCATTCCCTTGAAAGGTTCCATCATTCCAGAGCTCCCCCCCCCCCCAAAACTGGTCCTTCTCATGTCTCATTCCTTAGGGCCTCGAGGGCCAGGAGCTGAAATGAAGGTGTAATTTAAGTTATCGTGATGATCACAGTGCCACTAGAAAGAGCTGTTCACTGAAGTGATTCAAATAGACGAATCTGGGGGCACGTTGGAAGGCAGGAGGGTCTTGTAACTCAGGTTGACAGTGACAAAGCACAGGACTCATCCTGCTCAACTAGAAAAGGCCATTTCAAGAAGCCACTGCTATTGTCTTGGGGCTCAGGATCGACAAATTTCACTTCCTGCCCAGCCACAAAATGACAGAATGCCCACTGGCTACACTGCCTCCAGCTACTCCCTTCTGACAAGCTACCTGGGACTTGGCTGTTCAGTTTCTCTAGCCAGAGGTGACCACACCGGGAATCAGCTCTGAGCAGGGAATGCCCAGCTTGCATACTCTAGAATCAGAACCCAGGGAGACCTTACCGTTAGGGCGGCTGCCAGTGAGAGAGACAGAGTGGCCACGGGAGTGGGGCTGGCCCCTCGAGCTGTCTCAGGTCTTGACTGCTTTCCAGCTCAAGTCCACATGCATCCTTAGTAAACCCCCAGGTGTCATCTTACGAACTGAACTGTTCTCTCTGATCCTAATCA